GACGCGTCTAAATAAATTTAAAACTATATGTGTTGTATGAATGCAAACAAAATGACGTCGTTTAGGTCTTCTTCTTCATAGATTTGGAACAAAAAAAAAATAGAACAGAACAGTGACCATATTCTACATTGCCTCTTTAATTTTTTTTTTAAAACGTATAAAATCAATTGTATGTCCAAAAATCATGAAATTTATATCGTTGGACTCGTAATGAGATGTAGAATTTTTTTTTCTGTTGTAAAATATTTCCAGAATTATTAAACTTTTCGAAAAAAAATATTTTCGGCCTTAAAAAGAAATTTTTTTTCCTAGCTTATTCTCAACAATTCAACATGAAATGACTCTTATACCATATGTAAGATTAATTTCATTATGTGAAAACCATCACATAAACAGGAACATTCATATTGAATCATCAAGAATTAACATATTGAATTTGCGAAAGTGTACTCGAATCCATAACAAAAGATTGAAATATTCGAGTCTGAGGCTTTATGATTTTCTAGATTTACAAATTTTTTCTGTCTAAATTTCTATCTGATAATGGGAGTCAGAAGAATAGAAAAACTATTGTGTGATCTGGGGACCATGATTTCTATTTATAAACAATCGTGTCTGTTTATAAGCAGTCACGCTTGTTTGTAAACAATCGCGTCTGTTCGTATTTTCTATTTTAACCCATCATAAAAATAGAAATTACGCTTGTTTCTACACATTAATGCCCACACTTTATAATATATTAATTAAGGCCCCAAAACTTAAATTAATCACTTTAATTAGCCTAACTTTATTTGATAGCCTACAATTCACATTTATTTAATATATATAAGCCCATATATTTAATTTTTTTCCAACATTCCAATCTTGCTTGTGGTACAACCCATGACTAAATACTGGACTAAGAGTTGGATAAAAGGGTGTGCTACTAATCCAGGAGTACTAATGCCATATGGACTAAATTGCCGTTAATCTCATAATAATCCTATTATGACTATCAACTATTCATTCAACTAAAATCAATTGTTGGCAGGGATCGGAGGATACCAATTATGGAGGTTTTTTCACTTATGCGTATGTGTGCATTGTGCAATTATAATAGTTCTCATAAATAAGTCAAACTGCCAAGAAATAAAAAAAGAAATCAAATCTGGCCGTTGGATTCCAACAATCAAAAATCTGTTGATTGTATTCAAAGGTTAGGTATTTAAATCAATAAAATTTGGTGGGCCTAATTGATGTATGCCTTTGGCTGGGCTGGGCCAACTGGTTCGACCAAAGTGGAAAAAAAATGATCCATGACTCTACTTGGCGGCCTTTTGGGATGCTAGGTGTGGGTCGACCAAGCCAATAACTTGATGGGACATGGGGCTCTCGTGCCTATTTGTAAGTTGTGGGATTTTTGCCGAGACTTTTTTTACTTGGCCTGTTTAAACGAGTGGGGTTAATGTATTTGTGGGTCGAAATAGGAATTTATAACCCAAATAGAGTTGAGTTGTACAAAAATACCACCTCCCACTAGTGTTAAAATTTATGTAATTGTACGACATACGATTTCCACAAAGAAATACAAAATGTTTTTTGGCCTCCTTATATAGTCTAAGTCTGGTTAAGAGTTTTACTCCATTTTGCCTCTTTATTCTCCTTTATTGTAAGATATACCAAACAATCCCTTTGCGTATGATATATATTATGTTGCAATTTGGTTATCTTTGTGGTCATTGATCAAATGGAAAGATATATTCGTAATTTGGGTTGTATAACACAATATGCGTTTTCCATATATTATGTTTACCATTTTCTCGAGGTTATTGTCGTATATATGTGGAAACTTATAATCATGTAATTGCTTGTTGCTTGTAACTCAAAAATTTGGGATATACTAGCAAGAACCATCACAATGCAGGGGCAAATGATTATATGTATCCTAATGCAGCAAGTAAATTCTTTATAAAGTCAAATGATGTCTGAGTGTAAAAAGAGCTTGTATCATACATGGAATAATTAACATCATTCAAGGTTGTTCATATGCTTAAGGGGCCTCTCAACTCATTGTCATTTAGTTTTGCATTAGATTATCTAATATGGTGCCAAAGTTGGGTTTTTGGTAGTTAGTGGATCAAGTCTGTATGCATGTTTTTTTGTTTGTTAGCACCATTTGCTAGCCGAGGCGATGGTGTAAAGCGAGCTTATATCCCACATTGAATAATTAGCATTACCAAATATTGATATATATGCTTAAGGGGCTCTCCTTGCATTGTTAATTGTTTTTGCGTTGGATGCTCTAACAATGAGATACATTCATATGTTATTAGACCATCTAGTGTGGTGATAAAGATATAAAAAAATCAACTCAAAAAGGACAAATAGTGATTTATGTTATCTACTTATCAAGGATGGAATTAAAATTTATCTACTAAAAGGACTCCCACAGCGGCATCCATCAATGTCCAAATGACATTGTCTCTCATGCCAAGTAAAATATTCTTAGCAATTAGTTATTATCCTCATTGGTGGACACATTTAAAACTATTGCACCCTATTACCCTTTTCTTTCTCCCAAATAGTGCACTTTTGAACAAGAATAAATATGGACTTTTTGAAAACAAAAACATGAATCAAGCCTTATTTCATTGTGTGCCCATTTATAATTTGCTCGTAATGTCAATTCATGCAAGCTGCATGCATTATACAATTAAAAATTGGAAGAGTAAACATATTGCATGATTGCATCTAATAATCAATCAAATAAACATCAAAACATGGTTCAAAGTATCGGCTGAGTCGTATACGTCTTAGCCACTGCTGATATGATACTGATACACTTTACGAAAAAACGCGGTTTTCATGTGAATCGGTTCCGAATTGGTATGACTTGGCCCAACTCGGTATCATCTCATTCGAGTCGGTTGATTCACATCCGAGTCATACCGATTCGCACAAAATTGTACAACCACACCCAAGACAACAGAGAAAATGCCTGGAAAAAGGGGCAAAAGAGATGAAGAAGAAGACCAAGAAACAAATTGGTAAAGAAAGAAAGCCAAATCAAACAGTTTTTGCAAAAATTAGCGGCACAAACCTATAATTCCCCGAATAATAGCCTTTATCCCAAAGCTCCCCTCCTTCCTCCTCCTCCTCTTCTTCTTCTTCTTCTTCTTATTCACAGTAGCAAAGAAGTGTCATAGAAACCCTTGACCTAGGTAGTGAAGCATCGACGATATTTGGGGGAAGCAAAGATTCAATTTGATCTCTAGAGCCTAGATTGCTTTGTCCCTCAGGCTCCAGTTCTCTCTCTCTCTTTGTTTGTCTGATTGTCTCCCCCTCCCAGGTTTCTCTCTCTCTATCTCTCTCTCTTAAGTCTCAAAATGAAACCCAATTTATCCAATCTTTTAAGTTTTGTTTTATATGTGTTGTGAAAGATTTAATAATTTTACATACATAATGGACAATATATTTTAGTAATTAGAATATTAGATCTACATTAAATAGACAAAATGTTTTTGTGTTTTTCATAAATTTTTTAAAATTTAAACTATAAATTAGATATTTATATTCACATTAATATGATATTTATATTTAGTAGTATTGGGATCTAAAGTAAATAGGTTCTAAGGTAAATATCAAATTTACAATTTATAGATACATATTTTTTTTTGTTGTTGTTATTTTTATTTTAAACCCCATACTAATAATTATAGTATGACTCAATTTGGTTTTAAATGTTTAAATTGAACATATATGATAATAAATACTTTCGGTAGTGCCCTTATAATTCTATTTTACTATGTTTAATATGTTAAGCAATGCATTCTGTGGATATGATGCATGGATAATGATTTTTACATTTTTTAGATTTTTTTCAAATTTGTTTGGGCTTTTCTACCTAGCATTTTGAGCTTATTGGCAGACACCGTGCCGCGACTTATATGTTTTAGTACCCTCCGAGACAATGACCGATACCGCGATCTTGAACCATGCATCAAAATTGATTAATGACCTTGAACCATGCATCAAAATTGATTGATGATGGAACAATATGTTATCCTTAACCTTGTGTTATTATTCCAATACACAAACATAGTACCAACAATATCTAAAGAACAGGAAAAAAATAGTCAATAGTTATTGTAAAGAATCTTGCATTTTATGTTCCATCATTTTAGTTGGATTGGTAACAAGCAAGTGGATTGACATGTTGGGCTGGTATCAGGTGTAATTTGGACCATCCTGGGTTTTGTCAAGTTTGCCCCTAACCCAACCTTAGCCTGTTTACATGGGGATGAGATTAGGCATGGTTTAGACTTGCCCAAACTCCACATCCTTTGCAGTTTTTTTTAGTCATTCATCCTCCTTTATCTTAAGTATTTCTTTCTTACAATGAATTTTTCATGGATGGAGTAAAATATATTTCCTCTCCCCATGATTTGAGTTAGTAACTGTTTACCTCTTATATTTTAGAAACTTATGCATAACCCCTTGGTGGTTAGAAGTAAATTGCATTAGGTACAAAGTTCACAGTTTTGTTAAAAGATAATATTACCCTTCACCTATTTATATTTTTAGAGTTTTTTTTTTCTTCTTCAAAATTTCAAATAAATTGAAAAATCTAATGACTTCTTTTGTGTGTGTGTGTGTGTGAGAGAGAGAGAGAGAGAGAGAGAGAGAGAGAGAGAGATTTATTTATCTGAGAAATAGAAAAATGAATAATATAAGGGTATAAAGTCATTTTGACGTGTTAGTATATAAAATATTCTTTTGACATTTGGACATTAAATTTCACAGAATTTTGTATGGTTTCACTTTAATCCAAAATCAAATGGGTTATACATACCTTTCCACAGTATTGGGAGGCAATGTGTTAGTGGGTCGAATCATAGGAACATAATCTATAAGTAACCCTTTACTGAATTATAATAGATGTTTGACCTCAACCATAGTATAGTGGACATCATATTCACTGGTTACTTATTAATTTTTATCTTTGTTTTAGGGGTTTTGCAATGCACCATGTGGGTAGTGCAGGGAACACATCCAATTCAGTTCGTCCTCGCAAGGAGAAGAGATTGACTTATGTGTTGAGCGATGCTGATGGCACGAAGGTGACACATGGTTCAGGTTTCCATTGTTAGTTCTTATGTGGATGTTTTGGAAAGCGGTCCTGTCTTATAATTAAATTAGTTTCAAATAATCGTTATATATGGTAGAAAAGGGATGCAGATTTCTTTTCCTGACCAAACATGTATGTGTAATGTTATATATAATGGTTCTAAAGTTTGTTCTTCACCTTTCCACAGAGTGCTAAATTGTTGGCCAGTATGTCTTGCTTGATAGAGTGTGATGTGAACTTGTTGCACCTAACTCAGTATCCTTATTTTTTTCAGTTCATTATAGGAGACATGCACTTCATTATCAAATTATGGGGGTGCAATATAACTGGGTAATGATGTGGTTCCATAAACAAAACATGCATTTCCATTTAATTGAATGAACAATTAGCCCTAACAAATTGCTTTATTTGGATTCATTGGGTTGTTTCTTTTGAAATATTAACAGTTGAGGATAAAAGTTTGGCTTATAACAAGCTACATTTGTAGGATGTGCATAGTTATTCATACTTCTGTCAGCTTTGCCATGAGAGTTTTTGTCGATTTTAGTTCCCCTTTTTATTATTGTATACACAGCTCTGATGTAAATATCTATAAATCCCATTGTACACTAAGAGATGTTTGAGCAATTAGCTATGTAAAATTTTATTCTTAGCTTTCTCTTTCCATGTTTGCGAATGAACTAAAAGTTAAATTAAGTTATACAACTGTGTGACGCATTACCTCTTTGACGATTAATGATACACGTAACATGTTCATCCATGGAGTAGGCAAGAAATTTTTATTCTTGCTCCCCCCTTGTGCCATTTCTGTTTGCCAGAGCAGAACTTTTTTTACCTTTTTCCAACACTGTTGACTTTATGATACTCTTGCTGTTAGATGAGTGATGACTCTACATGTTACCCTGCCTGGCAATATGATTTCACACTACTGAAGTTTGGAATGTTTCTCTATTTCAGCATTGTGCAGGTGTAAACTGTTTGGCTTTGTTAAAGTCGTCAGTCCCTGATGGGTGTGATTTCCTCTTCACTGGGGGCCGGGATGGCACACTAAAGAGATGGGCATTGACTGAAGCTGGTGCTACTTGCTCTGCTACATTTGAGTCACATATTGATTGGGTAGTGTTCATTCTGACTCCTGTGCATAAAATATTTACCTTCGATGACTGATAGGAGTTCTCTTAAATAAAATAGTTGGTTGCTCATTGCTGTTACTTGTCTTAATCTGTGGTGGGTTTTTGAGCATGAAAATAGCTCATACTTTATGCGAGTGGGTTGGATAACAGTCTTGTAACATCTTTAACTTTTTCCTGTTATTGCTTAATTGGGATGGAGGTATGGGGAATGACATTATAGCTAAATGCGGATACCTGAACACCTGACACCCTGTAAAACCTTCTAGTGCTCACTTCTGATGTATTCTATGCATGTGTGAGCATTGAACGAAATTGAGCATTGGGTTCTGCAGGTCAATGATGCTGTCCTGGCTGGTGGTAATACACTTGTTTCCTGCTCCTCGGACACTACCGTCAAGGTTAGTCTACAATATGATCTGTAATTGATTTTCTAACTAGTTCATTAACTTCTACTCATTTATTGATTTAGTTCTTATCTGCTGAGTTGCACCAGGCATGGAATTGTTTGTCTGATGGAACGTGTATCAGGACTCTTCGTCAACATTCTGACTATGTTACTTGTCTTTCTGCAGCAGAAAGAAATGTAATTCTCTTACAAAATTTCTGTGTACACATTTAACTGATGGATGAAAGGTTCCTATCAGTGTAATAATGCTTTTCAAATGCCATGTTTTTTATGATGGTGCAAGTTGTGCTTGGAGGCATAATGTTATGCTTTACTGCCTTCAGTTCTGATCCTTTTATGGCCTCATGCGTTATATAGACCAATATTGTTGCCTCTGGTGGCCTTGGTGGGGAAGTTTTTATATGGGATCTTGAAGCTGCCCTTGCTCCCCTCGCTAAATCAGGTGATGCAATGGGAGATGATTATTCAAATGGTATTAGTGGTTTGGGAAATTCAATGCCCATGACTGGCCTGCGAACTATTAGCTCAAGCAACAACATTTCTTTGCACACAACCCCATCTCAAGGATATGTACCTGTTGTTGCTAAAGGCCATAAGGAATCAGTTTATGCATTAGCGATGAATGATGGTGGTTCCCTTCTTGTCTCTGGTGGAACTGAGAAGGTATGCTAGGCTAGTCTTTTTATCTTTTACGGTTCTTAGGTTTCTCTCACGTCAAAGGAGCTTTTGAAGGATGTGTTGTTGGTTTACTTCCACGTGCTTTTTTTACAAGTTTTGAGTCATTAAATGATCGGGGGGTTGCTTGGATTCCTTATTGTAGAATAATTTAATTTTCATAATAATGTTCTGATATCCTGTAGGTTGTGCGTGCTTGGGACCCTAGAACTGGTTCAAAGGCCATGAAGCTTAGAGGACATACAGATAATATTAGGGCTTTGCTGCTGGATTCGACTGGCAGGTTTGTTCAATGATTGGCAATGATGCCATAAGCCATCTTGAAGCTAATGCAGATAATTTGCGACTTATCAAGTATATGGTGGAGACACTTTCATTGTCTTTGTTATGCCAGTTACTCGTATCGCCCAAGGATAAAGGAAAAGTTACGCACAGATGTGTGCATGTTTGAAAGCTGTTTGAGTCCTGGTTTTATGTTTTTATTCAATGCATGTACTTGTTTTCTCTCAGCAGTTCGTTAGTCTGATCATCTCTGCTGTTTTCCATGTTCTATGTGACATGATGAAGAAAAACTATAACAACTTCACCAAATCTTGTGGTAAGTGACCTTGTATGAGTCAGAGGCATTGAACGCTTAAGACAATGAAAAGTATTGAGTGATCAATTTGGTTTTAGAGAAGTTGATCTTTGAAATGATAATTGATACAACAGAAGTACAAGCTATCAATTCTTTTTCCAGATTGGAATCCTTACAAGAGGTCTATTGGATCATATGGATGCTTGTCTATATTTTGACTACTGTATTAGGAATCACAATAGGTGTAGTAGTAATTGTTTGGTTAAAAAGAGAAACATCAGCAGGTTGGATCCGAGGGATCTTTGCTGCAAGCTGTTCTATTTTTGATGTTCAACAGAAAATGTAGAGAAAGAAGAAATGCCTTTGGAAAAGAATGTTTTAGGTCCCTAGAGAAATTATGTTGAGGTTTTTGAAGAAGGAGCATCAATAGGATATATTGAAGTAATTAACAACATGTGTAATTGATTAATGGCTAGTCAGTGAATAATCTCTAACTGTCAAGGATTTTGCTGATTTCTTATTGTTTGCATGAGGTTAGGATGCACTAGGCATATTCAAGATGATGATATTCTGAGAATCTGGGGTTTACTTTACTGAAATATAATCAGAACTGGAGCTGTAGCTGATTATAAGTTAGAACTATGGAGCGATACTCTGAAATCTGAATGTCTGTAATTGCACGAACTAAGATATATTGCATGCACCTAATTTTAGGGAAATTTGAAGTAATAATGTATATATCCAGAAATTTCATATGTTGGGTTGAAGAATGGAGGGACACTGCCCATAGAAATCGAGTAGGTCAAGTGAAATGGAAAGTGTTACTATTTAGTTGTGTGTGGTACCTTAAAGGATGTCAGACAACATCGAAAAAAAGGGGGAAGGCTGGGTAAGATGGTTTGACCTTATGCAATGTGGACCACCTAATGCATTATAATGGAGGAGAGCTTTGATCCAAGTTGAACATGCTGACTAACAAGAAGATGGGAAAAAGCAGCTTATGTCAAGACCATAAGGAATGACTTGGTTTCCTTGGATCTTATTGAGGATATATCACGCCCCAAATTTCAAATACAATGTGATTCAAATAAATATCTTTTAATTCAAAATTTAACCTGTGAGTGCATGCTAAGTACAATCATCTACTAACTCAAGAAACAAAATTCATTATCCACTAGCTAAATAGAAACCCCAAAAACACCAATCCACCATTCAAAGTTTACAATCCAAGAAAACCTCAAATAAAAAACAATATCTGAAATCTAATCAACTATAAAAATTCATAATAGTATTCCATTGCTAAAACCATCAAACTAAAATTAGAATTTCAAGCTCTAAGCTTTGAAATTCGGATCCACTTCAAAATCTCAATCAACACTCTCATTTATCCCAGTATCCACTCCAATACCCAAATCTAAAAATATTAAAGAAGGGGTGAACACAACTAACTCAGTCGAGAAACTCTCCCAAGCCTAAATAAGGTTTATTAAATACATGAAAAAGTTAATCTCCCTAAAATAAATATATGACTTTTGAAGTAAAATAGGTGACATTAGTAACTGTCAAGAAAGCTTGTATCCCACGTAGAATAATTTGGAGCACCAAGTTTGATTCATATTTTTGAGGGGTCACTCGATCCATTGCCAATTGGTTTTGAGTTGGATGCTCTAACATGATATTAGAGTTAGGCATTCGGTGGTCAGTAGACCAAGTCTATTACCATTTGAATTTTTCAATATGCATAATTGTTTATTTGTTAACCCCACTTGCAAGCCCGAGTCTCACGCAAGGGTGGGTGTTAAAAGAGCTCGTATTCCACATCAAATAATTAGGACAGTCAATGTTGGTTCATATACTTGAGGGGCCATTCCACTTATTGTCAATTGGTTTTGGGTTAGGTTCTCTAACAATAACGATCTCATATTTTTATGTGTGCAAAGGAATTTACCCAAATAATCTATCAAAATAGAGTATGCAGCTTGATTAGCTAAAATTCAACACATTGAAATACATTTGGTCCACATGATCACAATCACAAATCAGCAATCACCAATGCTCGTAAAACTTTAGGGAGAACCGATACTAATGCATCAATATATAAACAATCCATCAATCACCAATGCTCGTAAAATTTTAGGGAGAATTGAGACTATTGCATCAATATATAAACAATTTTTCCTAGAAATAGTATACTAACTCATTGCCTCGATCAACTGGAACGAATAGTGGGAACCTTTGAAACTTCGCATGGAATCAAACTCCTCAACTGCGAGTGATAGGGAACGTTCAATCCCTTGAAGGAAGAAACACATCTAAATATTCTACAATATATGTTCGAGTGCATTCAAGATCATCAAACCCACTAATACACTAGATTTTCAATCATGCTCTTCAAAAAAATCAAGTATGCAACAAATGATAGTTTTCAGAATTCGTAAGACAATGGAGATTTTAATAAAAACATGTATGAGATCGCAAAGAAACATTCTCAAATATTTGTTATCCAAGATCTAGAATTTATGCTAATCGAATCATACTTTTTCAAGAGAATCAAAAGTTATCATAAATCTACAGTATTATACGAATTTGAGTCAAAGATTACATATATATATATATATATATATATATATATATATATATATATATATATACAGTCATAGCATCAATGTTTAGAAAAGAGAAAGAAACTCTAACTTGATTCTATAGAAATTGATTTTAATGTGCTTTAGGTGTTTTTCTATTGCTAATCCCATCAAAATCTGACCCGATCTCTTCTTCTACCTCCTCTTTTTTCTCTCCAAGACTCTCTTAGGTTCTTTTGAGTTGAATTTGTTTTTGCAAAGTAACCTGAAAACTAATCCCCAGGGTTTAGATAGTGCCAATTTCGGTTAGGGCAACATGCTGAATCAGGCTAGTCTAAACAGATGCGCCCAGATGGAAATAGTGTCTGGACATACTAAACTTTTTGTCCAAAATTTGTCATGTGCGTCCGGACACGAATCTTGTGTTCGGATGGAGTCGATTCTCTGCCAAATTCTCCTACCAGCGTGTCCGGACAGTCCTAACTCAGACTCCGTTTTGATGGATTCCCCTGCAACCCCAAGGTGTTATCCATATGACCTTCCTAGGGTTTATACATGATCCGGTTTTGTTTCTCATTATATTTTTACCTAAAACCTTTACGAATTATTCAATCATTCCTCCTAGTCATGATCACTCCCCAAACATTTAATCACCTAAAAATCCAAACTCCTTATGCAACATCAACTCTGAAATTCACTTCATACCAATCATTTAATAAGTTGAATATCATAATTTATAATCTATTATCAGATTAAAATAAATACATGGGGTCTTATTGGATATAACTTTAAAAAGAGCTATTGGAGTCTTGGGGGGTAGAATTTATGTTGGCGATGCCAAATTGTTGGGATTATGCTCGTTGAGTTGAATATCTAACTTGATGATGTATCTGCTTGTATATGAAGAAATTGATGGAGTATGTAAATATATGTTACGATCTAAAACAATTTCGCTCAAGAGTATTTGATACAAAATGGAGCTAGTTCAAAGAACAAAGATTATGTTACTTTTTGTAGATCCTCCGATGATTGTGTACACATTGAGTTGTTAGGGATGGAGAAATCTAAGAATATCTATAAAAAAGGTTCGGTAGATAGTTTAAAGAAGCATAAACGAGATTTCAAGCAGCTGGTGAACACCACACACACACATACACACTGTGAGAGAGGAGAGAGAGATAGAGAGAGAGAAGGGGCTGCATCAAAGAGTGGTCGAGGTTCATGCATCATTGTCTATTTTAACGAAGTATTTGATCAGCTATTTTTTGTTTTGAGTTAATTGGTGGACTATATCTATCAAACTTGTAGTCGGAGAGAATATAATTAATGTGATTAGCGCTTCTGCACCCTAAGTAGGGGTAGAGGAATATATTAAAAAGCAATTTTTGGGAGCAAATAGATGAATTAGTTCAACATATACCTATAGGAGAGAAGATAATCATAGGTAAAGATTTCAAATGGACATGTAGGAAAAGATAGGACACAATATGAGGGGGTGCATGGTGGTTATGAATATGGTGACTGAAATAAAGCTGGAGAGAGTATTTTAGAGTTTGCAATGACATATGACCTTGTAGTGACAAACACCTTATTTAGAAAATGAGAAGAACATCTAAAAACCTTTAAGATCGGACCAAACAAAAGCTAATTAGACTGCTTCTTAAGTAGAACAACAGACTGATTAGCATGTAAAGATTATAAGGTTATCCCGGGGGAGAACTTAATATCTTAACATAGGCTAACAATCCTAAATTTATATATTAAAGGGTAACATAGAGGAATGAGAAGTATTAGAAAAACAAGAACGAGATAGTGGAATCTAAAAGATGAAGAACTGGTACTATTTAGGAGTAGAATGTTTAAGGAGGCCTTATGGAACCTAGAGGATGAGACTAACGTTATGTGGAGTTGGATGATGGAAGACATTAGGAAAATTTCGAAAGAGTTTATCGGGGTGTCAAAGGATAGAGGGTTTGTGGGAAAAGAAACTTGGAGGTAGAATGACGACGTACAAGATATAGTTAGAAAGAATCTTTTAAGAGATGACAAAATGATAGAAATAACGAGAACTTCCAAAGATATAAATTAGCTATCAAGGAAGCAAAAATTAGAAAAAGAAAAACAAGAGACTTTAACC